AAATAGCCCCTCACCCTGCTCCCGGAAGGGTGCCCTGCTCCCCAGTGCCACCAAGAGCTGTGGCATCTCTGCTCTCCCAAGGGTTTGCATCCCTGCGACTGGTGGGTGGAGGAACCCGGTGCGATGGGCGAGTGGAGATCTTCCAGCACGGGATGTGGGGCAGAGTCCTGGATGACCAGTGGGACATGCAGGAGGCCAGTGTGGTGTGTCGGCAGCTGCAGTGTGGAGATGCATGGAGAGCCTACAACCCCCCAAAGCGTGAGCGAGGAACAGGCCCCGTGGGGCTGCGAGGGCTCCGGTGCACAGGGCACGAGCCCAACCTGACCTTCTGCAACACCTCCCTGCCTGAGAGTGCACTGGCTGCAGGGGTTGTAGAGGACGTGGGTGTCATTTGCTGGGGTAAGTGGCATTCCACGTGCCCCCCAGGTGATGGTGTGGGTGTGCAGGTGGCCCTGACATCAACTGGGATTTGTTCCCACTGCAGGGAGCCAGTGGGTCCGGCTGGTGAACGGGGCCAGGCGCTGCGCCGGCAGAGTGGAGATCTACCACCAGGGCATCTGGGGGACCATCTGCGATGATGGCTGGGACCCGTCCGGTGCCACCGTGGGCTGTGGAGCAGCAGTGGAGGTGGTTGGCTCAGCTCGTTTTGGGGAAGGTACTGGGCAGATCTGGCTGGACAACGTGAACTGCTCTGGGGCTGAAGCTGCTCTCTGGGACTGCCCAGCTGGGGCCTGGGGGCAGCATGACTGCGGGCACAAAGAGGACGCAGGAGTCATCTGCTCAGGTCTGTGATGGGAGTTGTGGTGGGAGTCTTCTTCCCGGGGAATTCAGGATGCAGGAAGGAGCAGGTACAGCCAAGGGTCTCCTTGGCTGCCTCTGATTTCCTGCCTGAGCCCATCATGGAGACACCCTCAGTCCCAGGGGCCTCCTCAGTCCCACTGGGGACAGTGTAAGTCTCCAGGGTTAGCAGGGGTGTCTGTTCATCAGGGACTTTTCCCTTGGGTACGAGGGAAACTTGCTGGCTGTGCCCCTGTCTGGCTAAGGGCTTGGGAGGTGCAGAAGCATCTCCTCTCCCACAGGCCCAGATAAGTCTGTTCCCCTTTTGTGCCTTTCCTCCCAGAGTTCGTGGCCCTGAGGTTGGAGAACAGCAACAACTGCTCTGGGCACCTACAGGTTTTCTACAGTGGGACGTGGGGGAGCGTTTGCTCCAATTCGATGACTCTCAAAACGGTGTCACTGGTGTGCAAGGAGCTGGGCTGTGGGGACGGAGGGTCCCTGGAAACACAGCGGCTCTATGGCAGAATTTCTGGCACTACTTGGCTGGATCATGTGGAGTGTGGGGAGAAAAACAGCTCCTTCTGGCAGTGTCCCTCTGCTCCCTGGGACCCACAGTCGTGTGATGACCTTCGAGACGAGACCCACATCACCTGCAATGGTAACTCTGAGATACCTGGGCAGCAGAATCCCCTTAGATCCTATTCCCTCCCCTGTACAGTCAAGCACAAAGGGCCCACAGGAGTTTTTCCCTTATGTGCCAGACCCTGCTGCTTCTTGTGTCACAAATGGGACTTCATCCCTAAAAGCCACACACATTTACCAGCAGTTGCCAGCTGGGCCCCCAGCAGCAGCCATGGGAGGCAGAGGGGTCTCCAGGCAACTCCATGCAAAGTCTCAAAGGGACCAGCCACGGCTCTGAGGATTTTCTCCTCCATGGATTCCCTCTTGCTGCTCTGTGAACCAGAGTCCCTTTGAGGCTGAGCCACCAGGATCCCCACATTGCCCTGTGTGTCCCCTGAGTGCCTGGGGTTCAGCTGCTGCCATGAGTGATTTTGGCAAATGGTGGCATAATCAGAGCTCAGTCCCAATCTCTACTGCATGAACCCTTCAGCCTTCCCTTTACAGCAGCATTTCCTTCTGCAGGGAGACAACCAGAAACGCCCCCAGCCCTGGGGACTGTGTGCCCAAACTCCACGAGTTGCACAGGTAGGGAGCTGCTCCTCCACATGCCCCTCTCACCTGGCAGGGCTCTGCCTGCTGTTCTGGTACCCTGGGAGGTCTCTGCCTTCCCCAGATAGGGAGAAGATTCGCGCCATGGGAGGCGAGGACGGGTGCTCGGGCAGAGTGGAGATCTGGCACCGTGGCTCCTGGGGGACGGTGTGCGACGACTCCTGGGACATGCGGGATGCAGAGGTGGCGTGCAGGCAGCTGGGCTGTGGCCCCGCGGTGTCTGCCCTGGACCAGGCTGCATTTGGGGAGGGGACGGGCCCCATCTGGCTGGAGCAGGTGGAGTGCCAGGGGACAGAGCTGTCTCTGCAGGACTGCTGGGCCCGGCCTGGGGATGGCGGTGCTTGCCGGCATAAGGAAGATGCTGCTGTCCGCTGCTCAGGTGAGTAGCAGGGCTGGAACTCCTTGCTCAGGTGTTGGCAGGGAGCTGGGAAGGCCTTTTGTCCACTTGGTACCTGTTTGGCCTCTGACCTCCTGAGAGCAAGAAGGTTCCTGCAGAGTGCAGGAGCCTGGTGCCAGCTAGGGAGCAGCCTCAGTGGAACTGATGTCCTCCAGAAACTGTCCATGGGACCCTGCAGACCCAGGGCTGTTCCCTGGGCTGCCTGTGCCACCCTGCCTGCCACTCAGAGCACAGGCACTGGGCACAGTCCCAGCTTCCTTTCTAGCACTACAGGAGGGGCAATTGGACTGGGATGTGTCAGGGACATCTACAGACACACACACAGGGTACACTGGGGAGGAGGCTCCCCAATTAATGCACACCCACCCTCTCAGCCCTGCTCTCCTTTTCCTCCTCCGCAGCTACACCCAGCAGCAGCCCCACCCCAAGCAGGTAACCTGTCCTCCCTTGGGCCAGGCTGTGACCTACAGCTGGATGGAAGGGGCTCCTAGCTGGAATGTGGAACCCCCAGGAGGAGGCATTGGGATTGGGGCAGAGAGAGGTTGGGGAGGGTTGCAATTTACTCAGCAGGACAGAAGCTTCTCCATGACTCACCCCTGAGGCCCTCAACCCCCTGCTGCCTTGTGTGATGGGACTTAGGCCTGGTGCTGCCCCTTGCATATTCTTGCCCACTCAGATCCTAGCCAAGGCCGTCTGACAAGCAGTGGGACACTCTCAGTGCCCGTCATCATCTGCATCATCCTGGGAACACTTCTCTGCATACTCCTGGCCCTTCTGACTGGGCAAGTGTTAAGCACCAGGGCTGGGTGCAGAGGTGGGTCCTTCCACAGCAGTCCCAGGGGTAGATTCCTCCTGGAAGAACTGTGGGGTTCTGTGGGTTGTCAGTAAGGGTCACAGGCAGAGCTGAGGGTGTGACACTGTGTGCTGCCTTGGCTGCCTGGCCATGAGGCACCAGCAGCAAGGGATGGAGAGAGCCCAGTGGTGTGGTGAGCTACCTGGGGGGTGAGAAGAGAAACGACAGAGCAGAGCTGGTGGAGATGTGGGCAGGGGGGAGATGGCCAAGGCTGATAGTTCTCTGGGTGGTACTGGATGGCGGTCTGGGGCGGGGGAGATGTTGGGAGGACCAAAGAAAGCAGGGTCCATCTCCATGGTTCCAGGCACCAAAATGGTCCCTTTTCCCAACCCACACACAGGCAAGGCAGGGGCCATTCTATAGACCTGTGGGGCAGGTAGGGAGCAGCTCCAGGTGAAGAGGAAACGTGGGAGCTTCTGTGGGGTCACACAAGGGAGAAATGATCCAAAGGTCAGAGGGGCATAAGTGCTGGCTCCCAAGGGATGATGTGAGGGTGATGCTGCCCCTGATAACCTCCGCAACACCGTGGCCTTCACAGGGGATGTGGCAGCTGTGCCAGGACAGTGCAACGGGGTTGTGCTGTCAGACCAGTCCTGAGCTGGCCAAAGGAATGGGTTTGGGGGAGCACAGTTGAGTCCCTTTGTCCCTTTCCCTGTCTGTGTGCCAGAGCTGCCTCTGCCTCCAGGCTCCAGAATGGCTCAAGAGCTCTTCCCCGAGGCCCTGTACGAGGAGATCAGTTACAACCTAGCATGGGAGAAGCAGGCAAGGTTTGCTCACTCAGGTGGGTGTGAGTCCTCTCTCTCACAGACAGCACATCTGCAGGACCTTTTCTCATGGCCTCAACCCATGACTTATTCCCTGAAGCCTCTCAGCCCGTGGTCCCTGTAGCGCTGGGGCCATGTGGTCTGTGGGGAGAGCATCCAGGTGCTGGGCCCAGGAAAGGAGCTGCCTCCCACCCAGCATTGCCTGTCCCAGCTGGACAGCCCCTCTCCGCCTGCCCCTGCACCCTGTGTGACCCCTGAGGAGAGAGGGAAGGGGCTGTCCTAGGGCACCTCTGGGAGCACTTTTGAGACAGGGTTTGTCCTAGGGGAGCAGGGTAAATTCCCAGCCCTCCTCCCCATGCAGCCCCAGCTCTGTGGGTTCCTCATCCCCAGCAGCACTGACAATGAGCCCGGTCAGTGAGACTTGCTCCGTAACAGTCACTGTGCATCTCCCCAGGCTCCAATTCAGAGGAGTCCCTGACAAAGCTGCAGCCTTATCCTGTGGTCAGCAAGGAGGGGGATGATCTGGGATCAGCACCAGGTAACGGGAGGCAGGAAGGGTTTGATCTCCCTGCACACATGTGATGGACAGAGGTGACACCGAGTGTCACCATCAGAGATGGGCAGGACATGAGTGGGGCTTCTTGTGTTGCTGCCAACACCAGTGTCTCAGCCCTGTGCCCTTGAGTGTCCTGTCTTCTGCTCTGCAGGATGCATCTTCTCACTGTCATTATCTCCCGTCTCCTTTCAGATATTCTTGTCCTGCCTGCAGGTGATCCAGGAGATGGCTATGATGATGCCAGGGAGGTTTCTGATCCTGAGGAGGATGCTGGCTCCGTCCAGAGAGGGTGGAAAATGCCAGGGACACCAGAGGAGGGAGCAGGGCCCAGGGATGTGCCTCGAGGTGAGAGGAAAATGTGGTGCATAGGATTCCTGGGGTGCCAGCTCTGGACCTACCCAAGTCATTGCTGTACTCAGACTCCAGCATTCTGTGAGTGGGGGAGTGCTGTAGAAGTTCCATAGCAGGACTGAGGATGGGACACGGGGCTCAGCATCTCAGGACTGGGGAGAAGAAGGAAGGAAGGTGATGTACAGACCAGGATGGGCACCCCATGGGGTGAACTGCCATGTCCTGCCTTGCTGCTTGCAGAGGGCATCCTACGCTCCCAGAGAAGTGCTGGGGTCAGTGGAGCTGAAGGAGACACCTCGTCCCTGTCCCCGGGCAGCATGGGCTATGATGATGTTGAGGAGACGTCTCTGGCAAATCCCTGTGACGACTCAAGGCTGTGACACTGGAGCTTGATGCACAACAGCCCTTGAGGCCTGGGCCAGGAAAGCCCATCCCTGCTGTGCAACTGGGTGCAGCCAGAAGGGAGGAGAGGTCTGTGCAGCTGGGAGAGCCGTGAGCACCTGGGAACTGTCTCTCTTCACCCACAGGCAACAGAAACGCCCTGGAATTTTCTTCTATTTTCATTCCCATTTTTATGCTGTGCATCCACATTTGTTCTTATTAAAAGTCTCTGGGAACTTTGAGCCAGAGCTGGTGCTTGCCTGCCCAGGTGTTGGGGTGTCTCCTTGAGGCTGATCACATGGCAGCAGAGCACAAAGTCATGGTGGTGGGGAAAGGGCACAGCTCTGGGACAGCAGGCTTGGGTTCAGGCTTTTATTGCTGAGCATAACAAGCTATGATATGGACTAGCTCTTTGGTCACTTGGGGACAGCTGTCCTGGCTGTGTCCCCCACCAACCTCTTTCCCACCTCCAGCCCTCTTGCTGGGAGGGAGTAGAGTGAGAAACAGAGAAGACCTTGATGCTGTGCAAACCCTGCTCAGCAAGAGCCAAAATACCAGCTTCTTATCAGCGCTGTTTTAGGCACAAATGCAAAACACCACCACAGGGTGTGCTACAAAAGAAGTTAACCTCATTCAATCCATACCCAGCACACTTGAACTGGAGACCCAGAAATGGACACAGTAGTGTACAGGTGGCACAATAAGTGATGAGTATGGGTGACAATAACTTTCCTCACTGTTTTGGTGAGGTTCCTATTTATACACTCCAAGATGCTGCTGGCCTTCATTACCACCATATCTCACTGGATGATGTGTGTCACTGCTAGATCGTGTTTTGCCTTCTATTGCCCAAGCAAAACCAGGGCTTTTTCTGCAGAGCTGCTCTCTGGCCAGGCAGTCCCCTTCCCCTGGCACTGCAGGGTGTCAGTCTGTCTCCGATGCAGAGCCTGACATTTGTCATTCTTCTCTCTCATCGAGTTACTGACAGGGCTGTCCTTCTGCCTGCCAGGATTCCCCTGAAGGGCATCCCAAGGCATAGAAATGGTCATCCAAATGTAGTGCCATCAACACAGTGAGTACATGAAGGAGACAATAAGGACATCAGAAGGACATCGAGCTGTTGGAGTGCAGCCAGAGGAGGAAGCTGGAGCACCACTCCTATGGGCATAGGCTGAGAGAGTTGGGGCTGTTCAGCCTGGAGCAGAGAAAGCTCCAGGGGGACCTTATAGCGACCTTCCAGGATCTGAAGGGGTCCTACAGGGAGGGAATTTTTACAAGGGCATGGAGTGATGGGACGAGGGTTAATGATTTTAAACTGGAAGAGGGGAGATTTAGATTAGATATAAGAAATAAATTCCTCCCTGTGAGGGTGATGAGGGCCTGGCCCAGGTTACCCAGAGCAGCCGTGGGTGCCCCCTCCCTGGCAGCACCCAAGGCCAGGTTGGACGGGGCCTGGAGC